GGTGTACTGTGGTTTACTATGGTGCACTGTGGTTTACTACGTACCATTCCAAACCCTAGCCGGCAACAACTCTCAGCCGTCGTTAACCCTAGCAATTAACGTAGCCGCCGTCAAACCCCAGCGGTCAACAGTCACAGTCGCTGCATCCATAGTCACAACTGTTGCATCCATAGTCACCTACCTCCTTTTAAAAAATCTAGGTCTGCCATGTTGAACTCTAACATATGCCGCCACACGATCATCTTGCCCTAAGAACCTCCTTCGTGGCCTGTATCAAGTCAAATAAAATAGCAAATTAGATCAAAACCAAGCAAAATCTCTTAAAAGATCAATATAATAATATGCAATTAATCAAAATATACTATCAATAACAGATCTATACAAAAAATGAAAAAAAAAAATAGCAAATCTTTATTTAAATAAACCTCCTCCCTCCGCCACACAGCCGCCGCCTCCAGCACCACTTTCCCCATCGCCCCGCTCCTGCACCTTCCGCCGTCGCCCCCGGCCTTTGTGCTTACTGGAGAAAGCAGATAAAGATAGAGAGGTGAGAGAGAAAAAAAAGATAGAGGAAATTGACAGAAAAAGAACGAGAGAGAGGGGGTAGGAGAAAAGGCGAGAGAGAAGACTAAAGAAAAGAAATAAATCTGAGTTGAGAAGCGTGAAGTTATATGATTTAAATAAGGGCAAGATAGGAATAAAAAAAATTAAGGATGTGAGTCATATATTATTTCGAACTCAGAATTTAAGAAAAATTTGAATTTATACTTGCCATTTAGTTCACATTAGGTTTGATTTGAAGGACTCTGTAGCATATTACCCATTTTTTCTAATAGTACCGCAATTTCATGCAACCTGTACAATAATCCAAATAATTATGGTGATTTTTTTGAAAAATACATAGATATGGTTTAATAGAATTGATTTTTTTCCTGTATCGATCAATTACTACATTGGAACAATACATTAATGTTTTCGTGTTACCAATCGACACATTTACATTGCGGGAAATAGAAAATAAAAAACAAAAAATAAAAATAAAATTTAACGTTACTCTATTAATCGGTCAACAAAACAATATTGTCGCAGTCAACAGTGATGGTTACCGGTCAATGAGAGGTCAATGATCAATTGCTGAAATTAAATTAAATTAGAGTTTGAAATTATAAATTAGAAACATTTAAAGGGTTAGAAGTAATTTTTATCAATATAAATATAAATATATATATCAATTGTTTTTTTTTTTTTTTTCAGGAATAAGAAAATTGAGATATAACTATTTTAATTGTGATTTTGAAGAACCCATATGTAAGAAAATAGCCTTATTTTATTGAAGGGACCCCTTTAGATAGACGAACTCACAAATATGATTTAGGGCTTAAAAAGGCCATCAAGCAAATTATTGTCCTTTCACCGCGACAACTGACGGTACTACATCACATGGAGGAAATTGCGTCATTGGTACAAGATTTGTTATTCTTTTTTTTTTTTTTTTTAATTTATGGCTTTCAATAACATGTATTATTTAAATCTATAGCCAACTACATTTGTCAACATCCATTCTTTAAAAAAATGAAATATCTTTTAATACTTTTTTTTTTTTTTTCCTTTTTTTAAGTAAATTCAAGTCCATTACAAAGGGACTAGGGGAGTAAGACTTGAACCCTAGATTTTTACCCTATTTAATACTTTTATATATTGTTTTTATTAATTGAAGTAACAATTGAAACACCAATATTTGGTTACTTAAAAACTTGTTATTTAGCGAACTAACTCTTAAAAACTCGTTATTTAGGAGAGTGCATGCTAAAAAAAATATTTCATATGATATTTTGCTATACTAACAAACAAGGAGAGATTTTTAATGATTTACGAGTTTTCATACTATTCACTAATATTTGTTTGTATTGTCCGGGAAAATTTTGTTACAAAATATTGATTACGCCCATGTCTTCGGGAAAGTTAGATGAATTTTAACTGTAGATCTGAATCTAAACACACATACACATAAGTGTGTTTAATTGTATGTAGAATTGTAGATATATGCTTGAAATTCATCCATTATAAACATATAATCAGATATAACCGAATATATATATATATACCAAAATTTGAATAAATGGAACTATTCAACGTTTTGAATTTTATTTTCTTCTCTAGAACCGAGTTTGATCCTTATAGACCAAAGAAGAAAAAAACGAGGCGGCTTTGTAAATGTTTTTGTTTTGTTCTTTTAATGAAAGTCGGCTATGTAATCAGCAACTGTAAAATGTAAATTATGTCATAACATGTACAAGGTGACAGTGTGACAGTGACGTGGCATATCGATCTACACATCTCATTCAATTACTAAATAGTATATTATTATAACTCAAGACAAACTTCATTAAACCTCCATCCATCACTAACATGTTCAATAATTCTAAAATTTGAGTCACCGCTTACCGCATCTCTCTCTCTCTCTCTACAATTTCGTATTCAATCACATCTCTATGGTGTGTACACAAAATATATATAAAATTGTTAGATGGGTATAGCTTAACTGATTTCGAATGTGGTAAGTTGGTACAAGATTATATGGTTCAGGGGCGGAACAAAAAAAAAAATAATTAGGGAGATCAGGCATTCATGAATTTTGGGGGTTTGGGGGCATCGGCCCAGAAACTTTTTAGAGTAATTCATTTAAAAATAAGCAAAAAGGGTCACAACTCATATTTCAGTCTCGATTTCGGGTTTCGGTTATCAAGTAAAAATATATAAATTTACTAGAAAAAAATAGAGAAAAATTAAAAAAATTAAAGAGTCGAAACGCATACTTACAAAAGATTGGGAGACCAAATCATGTTATTTTAAAAATATTACTCAAAATTACTATATTTTTTTATTTATTTTTTTAATCGTGGGGTCCACATCGCTCCCAGTGTTCCACCATTTTTAGGATCGAATTCTAGCAGCTGCAGTGTGGGAATTTCAACTCCAAATGAGAGTTGGTTTCTATGGGTCCCAGGTCCAGGTCCGCAACCCTACCATTGAATCATCATGAATTTACATCCCTCCATTGGTGGCGAGGGATTTCACATTTACGGTACAAAAATATATATAATATATGTATTTATGGATATGCAGATACAAATTAAAACTTAATTAAGCAATATCTTGTTAGAAAAGATCCGGATCCCACTCCGCAACAACCTCTCCAACCATTAAATTATTATTAAATACATGTATTCTTCTTCTCTCTCCTTCTTTGTCACATTGAATATAAGCATTCATTATGTTTATTTTAATTGTTAGAAATCTCTCTCTCTATATTATTTTTATCAACAAAAATCTTTACTATGATTCTTTAATGATTACGTAGTAGTCTCCTAATTATCATGAAATAGTAGTACGTGCATAAAGCCCCAACACACACACGCACCCGCACGGGTGTGTGTGTGTGTGTGTATGATGAGCCATCAATCGAAATTCAATTTCAGGAATTTATTCCCTTAGAACAATTTAAATTCTCATGCGATCGATCAGATCGCATCTTCTTCACATATTTTCTTATCGATCCAATCACAGGGTAAATTAATTAGCTGTTTTTTTTCTTCTTTTATTGTTTTTCTATTATTTTATTGAGCCAATTAATTATATTATATATATAATTATAATTATGCAGGAAATTGTTGCATATACTGAAAAGCATTAAATTTTCTTGTCGTCAAATAATTGCAGGAAAAAAGTCCAGCAAGCCTCATAATAACGTTTACAACCAGGCAAGTAATTGTTTTTTATATTTGGTATATATGCTATTTATTTTCCCAGCACCAAAATATTAATTCTCTGCAAACACCATATTAATAATTTTAAAAACTAAGTAATCTATTAGAAATTATGAATTACTAGTACATTGATTAATCTCCTTGTGGCAATTCTAAGAAAATCCAAATTTATAATGTAAAGTTAGTTTTATTTGGTAATTGAAGTTTATAACCTCGTAACAATAGTTGATTATGGTCTGAATGTTTGACCAGACAGCTTGAAAATTGCTAAACAGCGAATTATTAAATGGATGTGATAAATATTGTCTCAGTTTTCATAATACTGTTTCGACTTCAAAAAAAGCGATGTTGGCCATATTCTAAAGATTGACAAAACACAAAATACATTATATGTAGATATTTAAGTTCGTTTCTAATCCAATTTGAATCACCACGATTGGATGTCCAGTGAGAAAAATATGCACGAATCAATGAACATTCCCTGCAACTTTTATGTTTTGAGTTATCTTAAATTTTTAAATGTAACTCATTCATGCATAATTTTGTCACCCGACATCCAATTTAACTCTCATGTTGGATTATAAATTTAACTCAAAGGACTACAGTTTCGGTGTTCTGGAATTCTGCCAAAATCAGACTAGAAAATGGTCAAAATCACGTTATAAATCAAAATGATTTTAACAAAATTGAAACAACATCTAACATTTCAGATTATCAAAACTTGCAAATAGTAACCTTACAATCTAACTGACTAAAGTTGGATTATATATTTAACTCGAAAAACTACAATTTCCATATTTTGAATTCTGCCAAAATCAGGCTAGAAAATAGTCCAAATCACATCCAAATTCAAAACGATATAGATAAAAATTGAATCGACATCTAACATTTCCCAGATTTAATATAGTAGCCCCTATTTTCAAAATGTGGTAGCTGAGTCATTGGCTGCTAACTAAACTTTGCTTAATAAAGATTGCTTATCTGTAATTACCATAAATTAGTCACTAACATATAGCAAGTCCACGAGATGCATGTGAAGGGCCATAGGGCAATACTATAATCATTTTATTTCCCCATTTGCTTATTTTATAATTTATAAATAATAATAATAATAATAGGCAAATTGTCAATCCTTCAACAGCTAACTAATGAGTAATAATTTAACTAAAATAATAAAAATAAAATAATATTAATAAATAGCAAATCCTGAGTTGTTGGTGTTTGTTGAAACTAATAAGTTCTCACTTTTGTTCATTGCTCAACACAATTTTTTTTTTCAGACAATAGTTTCAGAGGGTTTCATACACACAAACTCTGTCTGAAAAAAAATGGGGTTCTTGTCACTATTGAGAGTGGCATCAATGCCTATAGTACAAGTTCTCATAATAAGCATATTGGGAGCTTTCATGGCTACCGATTATCTCAATCTTCTGTCGTCCGACGCCCGAAAATCTTTGAACAAGGTAACTTAATTTTTACTAATGAAGTATATATATAATATATTACTTTTGCTCGATCGATTAAATCGAACAGATCGTATATTTCGTATTTCTCGTTATTCGTTATTATTCGACAGATTGTGTTTGTGGCCTTCACTCCATCACTAGTGTTTGGAAGTCTCGCGAAGACGGTCACCCTCCAAGACATCATCTCGTGGTACGATAATAAAATTATGAAAATCGACCAAACGCCGTTACTAAATAAAATAACAAGACAAACATATTTTTTTTTTAATGAATATTCTTGGCAAAATTAATTTGATGGTAAAATTGTTGGATGAAGGTGGTTCATAAAATCACAAATCAC